TAGTGAGGGGCCGAAAACTGAACGCAGTACTCGAGGTAAGCCCTCACCAGTACTGAGTACAGCGGCACGATCCCTTCCCCAGTCCTGCTGGCCACTCTATTCCTCCATACAAGCCAGGATGCCACTGGCCTTCTTGGCCACCTGGGCACACTGCTGGCTCATGTTCAGCCGACTGTCGACCAACACCCCAAGGTCCTTTTCCTCTGGGCAGATTTCCAGCCACTCCTCCCCAAGCCTGTAGCGTTGCATGGGGTTGTTGTGACCCAAGTGCAGGACCCAGCACTTGGCCTTGTTGAACCTCATACAATTGACCTCAGCCCATCAATCCAGCCTATTCGGATCCCTCTGCAGAGCCTTCCTACCCTCAAGGTACCCTCGCCCTCAAAAGTGGGAAGGTACGAGGTTTCAAATTGTTTCCCTCCATCTACTTCTTCCTTAACAAATACTTCAAACGTTTGGGTTAAGAAAATCAGAATATTTAAAGTGCAAGATAGAATACAGTGTTCAACTATACATTCAACCCAGTACTGTTACCTTACAATATACCAACTAGTAGAATCAGATAATAAAATTCTGATACGGAAATTTCTGTGATTGAAACCATCTTGTTGTAATGCCACTTTTTGTTGAGTATTCCTTCCCTCTGACCTCATTACATGTGCCTAGTCATTAGATACAGTGTTACTAAAGAGTTTTAACTTACAAGATGCTTTGATTAATGATTGGTTGGCCTGAGGTTTTACTGTGTAGGATTAACTAGATTTAAAAATGGCAAAATGCCATAGTAGCATTAAACCCAGAATTTAATGAGAAGCAGAAGTAAACTCCAAGGACCCTGATGATTTTAATATGGACTAAACTCATGTGCTCATTACCTTAATGTGCTGTGCTATGTTATATAAAAGTCTTCCAATAATTCCTAGAGCATAGTAGCCTAGACAGCATATTACAAATATGTAATCTCAAGTATATAATCCCCTACTTTTATGAATCATAAATTTTGAGAAGTTTAGGTTCAGCTTTATTCAGTGTTATTATCAGACAGAGAAAAATGCTTCATGCTGATTTGGACCTTTTTAATTAAGAAACAATATGGAAATTAGACAAAGCCAGACTGGCAAACATTTCTCTCAATTTATAATGTACTGACATTGTAGATGAAAAATGCATTTTCACATTTTTGTGTTATCTGCTACTTGAATTTCCTTTTATTGTCTTTATAAGTTCATTTAGTTCTCCTGAAAGTTTACAAAGTTGGCACCTCTAGAGATTAGTAACCTTATTTTTTTACCATTGATCACATATTTCAGTGTATGATACTGCCAAGAAAACGCAGACTATTCTCACTCCAGACAGCATTCACTCATCTCCTGAAATCCTGCTAGACTTGATAGGATTTAAGCATATACTTAAAAGGTAACACATTGGTGAGTGAGGGCCTTTATATCTAGCGTTCTTTCAGTCCATGGTACCTTTGCTGAGATAATTAAAGGGCACTGATTTATTAGTAGAGCTGAACAGGAAAAAACTTTCCCACCCCAGGAGTCTGACAATTTTTTTTCCTGCATTGATCCAGATTTCCTGATTTTGGTTATTTTTTAGTGATCTTCCAATAATAAAAGTTGTGTAATGAATTTTTTGTTTCTGCACAGTAATGGGCTGTGAGAATTAGGCACAGTGTACTAATAAGCAATAATAGCAGTTCTTCACAGAAGCGACACGGTTTCTGCCAAAGCATGTAGGATGACATCCAACCAAATACTTGGGCTGTAATGCCTAATTTCTCATTGAAATCACTGATATACTGGAGTTAACTTAAACAGGATTACTCATTCAAGCAAATTTACGCAAGGGTCTAAGGCTGTATCCAGCTTTCAGTGAGTTAGGAGCCTATGTACTTGTTTGACCT